AGTGGTGACCGCGATTGAAACATCACGTTCACCATAATTTCAATGACCGAGAGTTACTCCGATGCCCTTATTAAGTTTGTTTCTCGCGACCACCGCCAAGGTATTATTTCCAGCTATGGTTGGTTTACATTCGAATTTGTGAAGACGCCCTGGAATACGCCCAGCCCACTTTCGGCCGATGGCGCGTCCTCATTTGTCTCCTACACTTCCCAGTAAATGGACAAACCCTCTACATATACGGATCCGGGTAAGGCATGCCCACGGTTGCCAGGATGGCGCTCAAGCAAAGCATGTTCGAAACGCGGTGGCCAGACTTTAGCTTTTGAAGCGAGGCGGCTTCTCAGTCGACTTTCTGCAGCTGACTACACTTAATTCTCTTCAATAACAAATCACCTCGCCAAGTTTCGGTCTGTGGAACTCAGCCGCGACACGGATGTCGGCACGAGTTTCTCGTAGTTGTGGCTAATCAACACCACCTAGGTACGACACCTTTGCACTGCTCCCTCTCCACGGCACTAAACGTAGCACCAGATGAGGAGGCACGACACCTCTGAGATGACGGTGCTAAATTGTCGGCGTCGCCCGAAGAAGGCCAACGCGAGTCAAGGAGCGGGCACAAGGGCTGCGTTCCCCTGAGACTCTAACAGTGAGAACATTTGTTTCAGCGCAACGCCTACGCAGCATTAGGGTGATATAAAAAATTCAACACTATACGGCTTTCCATCTGGTGGTGTCGACACCGCCGAGCCGCGGCAACAAGCGCACGCGAATATGAGAGCAAGTGTGAAAGAGAAAGCACGATCACATGACACGCCGCCCGTTCTCGGACCCTTACCGCTCATTCACACTGAAAGCGGATCCGCGTTCGCAAAGCGGTTGCGAACGCGGTTGTATAAAGATCCAGTACAATTGCACGCGCACTGGATGTCATCGAGTGCGCGTGCAGTTGTACTGGATCTTTATACAACCGCGTTCGCAACCGCTTCGCGAGCGCGGATCCGCTTCCAGTGTGAATGAGCGGTTAGAGGGGTACGGAAACGAAATGACGTGAGCGCGAGCTCTCTGCCCCTCACTTCAATGTCGGCCAGCGAGAAGCGCAATGCGTATCGCGCTCGCGACGTCAATAGTTCTCGCACGTTCAAGTTGAAGTTGCGAGCCTTGCCACTTGTTGGCGTCATGGTGTGACAATCTCGATTAGTGGTAATATCTGAGGACTGTACACCCTATGGCTTATTGGCGACGTGCGCGACCGAAAGCGTCGCTGTGGTCGGCCTTCCACGATTGGCCGAACGCTGAATATGACGTCGGAAAGGGGATTTATCAATGACGAAGTAAGAGGAATGAAAGAACTTTAATTTTGACGGTGTTGGCAGTGTTCCTTTGAGAGTGCAATGATTTCCAGCTTCCACCATGCTCCTTACAAACACCATCAAACTTGTTGTTTGCAAGGTAATGACGTCACAAGGGGGAACCATAGGAGGGCGCCACCAAAACATCTCGCCGCTAATACACAGCTTGCTCGTAACATCATTGGCGGCCATGCCGGTATTTTATGTGCACGAGCGTTCGCTTCACCGTGGTAGTTTAACACCGCAGAAGTAGTGGCTCGATGAAACCAGTAAGTAGAAATAGCCGTCAGTACCCAGCAATTGCCAACGTGAGCGATCGAAAGCGTCGCTGTGGTCGGCCCACCCCAATTGGTTGAATGCTGACAAGGATTTTAGCAAAGGATTTTTCAGCGACACAAATAAGAGGAATGGAAGAACTTCAATTTTGACGGCGTTCGGAGTGTTACTTTGAGAGCGCTACGATGTCAGGCTTTCACCATGCTCATTACAAACACCATCAAACTTGTACTTCACAAGGTAATGACGTCACGAAAGGTAACCAAACGAGGGCGCCGCCGAAACATCTCGCCGCTAATAGCGTATGGTTCGCTTGACAGACGTCCCCGCATCCTCCGATCAAGCTACTACTGCCTAACGTCTGCAAAGAACGGCGATCTCGATGTCGCAGAAGGCACGTTGCAGAAGTCCTTTGGAGCTGAGACTGCAGCCAATGCCACAACCACGAGAGCTCGAGGTCGCTGCTTTGAAGCGTTGTGTCGGAGAACGATCGAGCGCTCGCGCTAGAAATGCATGTCAAAGCCAGCAGCGCGGACCATAGCTCGCTCTTGTAGCTTTGACTGCAGTCTCAGTTTATGAGTGTTCTCCGCCAAGACTCTCTCGTGGAGTTACTTGGTCAGGACCAAGCACGGTGGACCAAGTAACTCCACGAGAGAGTCATACTGCCGCGAACTGGTGCTGCTTCTTAGGAACTCATGGCGTGACGGCATTCCAACAGAGCTTTACAGACCGCCACCAGACGCAATTTTGAAATCTGTTCATTCGTTTTAAAATTAGTTTTCTAGACTTCTCCGCCCCCAGCCCAGAAACACTACTCTAGGCTAATGTTTCTAGGTTGCCGGTAAAACATGGACCATATCTAAAAAAAGAAATAAAAGTGCAAACATTTCGTTTCCCTTTAACGGTTCACCATCCCTTTAAAGGGATGGTGAACCGAAATTTGGATTTCAGAAAGCAATGCAGGAGCTGTACTACAATCTCTACAACACTACTCGTAAGGCGATATCTTGAATGGACGGCCGTATTTCTGGAGAAAGAGGTCGAGATTGAACGAGACCGACGAGGCGCGTGATGTCAGGATATCTCGTGTCCTCCTCCCCTCGCTTCTCCACGAGAGAGCAACACGGCCGCGAACTGGTGCTGCTTCTTAGAAACTCATGACATAAAGGCATTCCATCGAGCTTCACAGACCGCCACCAGACGCAATTTTGAAATCTGTTCATTTGTTTAAAAATTAATTTTCTTGACTTTTCTGCCTGCAGCCAAGAAACACTAGTCTAGGCTAGTGTTTCTATACTTCGTTTCACCTTATCTGCGAGCGAAGCTAAAGCTACCCAGGCAGACCTGGCCAATGGCCAGCCATTGGCCAAGCTCTGGGTAATGCTTGGCCCCCAACGTAGGTTGGGTCCCAACATCGGCACTGGCCTGGCAAAACGTGGGACACCAACCATCGTCGGCTGGAGTGTTTGGCATGTATCCGGGCCAAAGCCGGCCAGATGAGACATCGGCTATTGGTTGGCCAAACATGACTTGCCAAACATTTGTCTGTTGACGATTTCTGAACATATCGCATGACATGCGTATCGGCATTCTGAGATATAGTATTGCGCACTTATTTTAATATAAATCTTAAAACACGGAAAAAAAATTTTTTTTTTTTTTGTAATGGGCTTAATTTACCGTGAAAGAAACCGAAGTAAGCGCGAATGTTTGTTGATCTCATCTGATTATTACACCCTTTCAAGGACACATGCAAAGGAAAAAAACATTTCTTTAAACAACTTAGATGGAAAAAGGATGTCAGAACACGATTTTCCAACGAAGAAAAAAAATTCCGCCGCTGGTCACGTGGTAGGCCCGCGCGCCGCCGCGCTGCGTCGCCGCCGCACGCTGAGCGTTGTGCGAACGCCGCTTCAACGCGTTTCTCCACGCCGCCGTCGCCGCACAAGTTCGTCTGCTTCGGGGCGCCGCCGCCGTCGTCGTCTGACCGGCGCACAGGTCTATCACGTCTGTTTTCGCTTTTTCAGGAGTTTCTTTTGGGCTCTAAAAGTTACCTATTAATCTTAGTTTTTTGTTATACTTCAAACAAAGATGAATAAGTTACTTTTAGACGCCATACGAAGCTTCCGATAGAGCACTATATAGCTCCTACGGAGCAGAGTAGCGCAATCCTTTGAACCCCGTGTTTTGCCGACAACATGGCCGACAGAGCGGCTCGGCGCGAGTCACGTGGTACTCAGGGTTCCAGGAGGCGGCCCGCCCTATGGGATAATACATGGAGATCGACATAACGCGGCTAATTAAAAAACTAACGGCGAGTTCACATTTTTCAAAACTAGCCTGTCGTGAAGTTAGTAAAGCGCTAAACACTTTATCAAAGTTTTAATAATATCGGATGCGTGTGCAAATTTTGAGAAGGCAATTTCCAAGGCAATGGCGTTTGGAGCAGACGATTTTTGCTCGCAGCGGAGATGGGCTTTTCGGGTTGGCCGGAGCGGGTCACGTGAATGGTGTGACGTCGCCGTGTCGTCTGCTGCATGACGCCGCTCAGGCAATTTTTTTAAAAAAAAGTTACGTCCTTGTATGGCACAAAACTTATCGCATATTATTCCAAAATGTTTCATTATTATGTCAAAAATGATTTCCATTCCGCACATCCCCACAAAACTGAAGAAACTACGATTTTCTCACGTTCTCCATGCATTTCTGACCGCAGTTGGAACCTCCGGGCGTTCGCCGCTAGTCGCCGAGAGACGGCGTTCTAGATTGCGCTACTCTGCTCCGAAGGAGCTATATAGTGCTCTAGCTTCCGAAAGAGCGCGAGCACCACGTGATAAATAAGGGCCAGATTAAGGGCCACTTTTCCGCGGCGCCAACTAAAAATTTGTATAGCGCCGTAAATATAGCTCCGAAGTTTTTTTCCTTCGTTGTAACATTGTTTTATGACATCCTTTTTCCATCTAAGCTGTTAAAAAAAAAAAGTTTTTTTCCTTTGCATGCGTCCTTTAAGCGGACCCATACCCGTGCCGTTTGTACACTGATCTGTATCGTAGTTTCGGTTTCTGAATTAGGACAAAATTGAGAAAGAACGAACCGCATTCACTACTTTTTTGCAGTTATCAATGTTATTTGACTAAAGTATTTTAAAAAGGCAAAGTTTGCAGGCGTGTTTTACTTAAAGTATGAGCGTGTCGCTAATCCTAGCGCTATCTACTTCTTTGCTCTGGTTGATCCAGGGACATGTGCAACTTGTTTTGGTTGCTAAGCTAGGTGGCACAGGCTATCACCTAATATAAAGGGTACAGCCGTTAGCATCCACTTGTCTATCCGGTTTTCTCCAGAACCGTATTGGCCGTATATCATATACGGCTCATACGGCTCTACCAGCTCTACCGTATATGGTTTTCTCAAGCTTGTCCTGGAAAGCCAGTTGTGTTGGTTGTGTCGTCGTGTTTCGTCGTCGTTCCCGCCAATTCCTTCCGCACTGTTTTCCAAAACGAACTCCGGGGTGCGTATTCAATTTGATTTTTAGCTGAATATTATCACACCAGTAGTGCGTTTCCCGGCTGCAGGCTTTTTCGCCTTGCATCATTTCGAGAGTGTTGAGCAGTGCCGTTACGTCGTCACGTTCATTGAATTTGGGCGCGAGCTTGCCGCCTAAATGTGAAACTGACACAATAACGCCCAATCCAATTTCTCGTATTTTGGTTACATAAGGTCACTCTGCCTTTGAGATGTGGTGACGTTGGTTCGCGCTATATGTGATCGATTTAGTAAAGTACGATTGCTAGCCGTGGATTGGTGTATGTCCGTGAATATTGAGACACCGCGACGCTTGTCAGCCATATTGCGGCATGTCTCGACGTTGTAGCAAGGAGACGTCCCGTTTCGGCCGGGACAGTCCCGTTTTTGATGCCCACTTCTGCCGTCCCGTCTTTTTATTTCAATATAGAATCGTGTCCCGTTTTCGCAGGAGTACATAGTTTTGAAATAGGCACCAAGCGAGTAGAAGCAAACCGAAACTATGTCTATTTGTTACAAGTATATTTGCCAAAAATAACCGTAAGTATCTTAAAATTTTTACCCAGAGGGTAAAATTTAGAACTGTTCTTGCCCACAAACATCTTAACTCTCGCGAAGACGCGTGCGTAGAAATATTTTTTTTTGTTACTGGATATTGCACGGTTGTAGGATCGTGTAGCTTTTTCTGTAGCTTGTACTGTAGCTGTACATGTAGAAGCATGTAGAATTTTTTAAAATCTTTCTCCCAATCTCAAACTTTAATGCGCCTCCCCTGCCCCCTCCCCTTTTCCGCTAGGATGTCATGTTTTCTAGCTTGAGGAATATGGTCACCCCATGCTTACCCCAATTTCTGGCGCATATACTCGATCAGCATGTTAAGCTTGTGTACCTGAGTGGAAATTATAAATAAGGAAACAATTGAGTCAGTTTAAAGATGCCTTCAGACGCCTATTGAAAATCGCCTATGGCTTATATGTGTTTAGCCCCCAGTATTCATTGCTCATAGCCATTTTTAATTCCTTTCAGGTTTGGGAGTACATGCAAGCACTGTGATGAGGTAACGTGACAAAAATGGAAAAATATTTAAGTTCAAAAAGAAGGCGCCAGTTTCGCTTAATTAAGTATGCTGCCTCATCATATATGAAAGAGGTGGACACGCGTAGTCAGATTTTGGAGACTGAAGTCTCTCTTGAAACCGCATGCCTGAGAACTGAACATGTTTCTTATCCTCCTATTTCGGATCTAAACCAAGCAGCTTTGCGTCGTGAACCAAGTGAAGAAAGTTTTTTCACTAATGTTTCTGTTGCATCAGAAGAACTTGACGAACCAGAACTAGCTGGTACGTCACCTGCTTCTCTCTCTGAGGAGTACCCCAGTCATGATATTATTTCTGATCTTCGTACATGGGCAGTATCTTTCAACATTGAGCATGCAGCTTTGGACGGTCTTCTTGGAGTTCTTAAACGGCGCATAAGTGGCCTTCCCAGCAATTCTCGTAATCTGCTTGGTACGCCGAAAAGCACTCCCTCTGTGCCCTTGTCAAACGGTGACTACTGTCATTTCGGCTTGGAGGATGGCCTGCGCCATGCTTTGCAGATGTGGCCATCTATCACACTGGACACCAGAACTCTTGATGTGTCCTTTAATGTGGATGGACTTCCTCTCTTCAAGAGTAGTAGCAGACAAGTGTGGCCTGTGTTAGGTTTGCTTCACCACCCACAAAATAAGCTGCTGGACAGAGTGTTCGTTGTGGGCCTTTTTTGCGGGGCTTCAAAACCAAGCTCTGTGGATGAATATCTTCATCCATTTGTTCAAGAACTTGAGTGCATGCTACAGAGTGGCCTGGACTCTCAAGGGATGCATTACTCCATTACTGTGCGAGCAGTACTCTGTGATGCTCCTGCGAAAGCATTTGTTAAGTGCACAAAAGGTCATGGAGGGTACTATGGATGTGACAAGTGTTGCGCATCAGGTGTATATTATGGACGCATGACTTTTCCTAACTTGAATGCTCCTCTGCGTACTGACGACTCATTCAAGGCTCAGTTACAAGAGGAGCACCACAAAGGGACTTCTCCATTGGCAACAATCGGGGTGTCCATGGTCAGCAGATTTCCCATTGATTATATGCACTGTGTCTGCCTCGGGGTGGTTCGAAAACTGATAGGCTTGTGGCTAAGAGGACCCCTATCTGTTCGACTTGGTTCAACATCAGTCTCAGCTCTGTCTCGTGAGCTTGCTCTACTTGGGAAGCTCAGTGCCACGGATTTTCAGCGAAAATGTCGAGGCCTCCAAGAGTTTGATCGCTGGAAAGCGACAGAGTTTCGTTTCTTTTTGCTTTATGCGGGTCCTGTCACAATAAGAAAAGTCGTGAAGCCAGAAGTTTACAAACATTTTCTTCTACTTCATGTGGGGATTGCCATTCTTGTATCCCCGTCGATGGTGCACATGTTGGACTATGCGGAGCAGCTGCTCCGTCTTTTTGTAAGGGAATGCTCTGTAATTTATGGAAAGACATCACTCGTGTACAATGTGCATCTGCTCATTCACCTCGCAAATGACTGTCGCCTCTTGGGACCCCTTGACAACTTCAGCTGTTTTCCTTTTGAGAACTACCTGGGGAGGCTGAAGACCCTTGTCAGATCAGGCAATAAGCCACTTCAGCAGCTACACAGAAGGATCCTAGAGGAGAGGGCGTGCGCTGTAAGCCACACTCTCGATACCGCTGCCTCCACCCAGGGTGAATTCTGCGTGGTACCATCATCTTGTCACATGAGTGGACCCACCGGTGCCTTGGCGATCTGCTGTGATCAGCAGTTCACCAAGGCACTGTTAAAGGGCTCTAAACTGAATGTCCAGGGGCGAGACAACTGTGTCCTAATTTCTGAAGGCCGTGTTGTAGTGCTTGCAAACATTTTAACACACAGGGATGAAGTACTGCTTGTAGGACATGAGTTTAAACATGTGCAAGACTTATACCGCTATCCATGTCGGTCTTCCCTTCTGTCAATATTCTTAGTGTCGTGCCTAGACAGCAGATTGCTAACCTTCTCTTCTGCGGACATTCTTTGCAAAGGGATGCTTTTTCCATTCAGAGGAAAGCAAGCATTCTTTCCTCTGCTTCATCTCCTTTGAGCTGTCCGAAAGGCACTGCCTAACGTAAAGTTTGTCTACAACGTTAAAAAAACACACACACACAGACTTTACGTAAGGTGATGCCTTTCCTCAGCCCTGGCCGTTTCAGTCTGAATGAGCATCATACTGGCACATGTTTCTGGAATCACTACTGCGTGGTGCACATTGAAGACCCTAGGCTAGTGGTGGCACTGCTCTAGCGAAATTTCGCATCTCCAGCGCGTGACAATGTCACTGAGCCCTGGCAGACTAGACTCATGCTGCCTAAACGACAGCATTTTTTTCTACAATGCTATTGAATGACTTTTGCCACTTTCCAGCTACTACATAGTGGAATTTCTCAAAGACAAGAGCACATATGTGGTGCCCTCTTGGTGGACTGCAAATGAAGGAGAAAAAATAACTTGTTTATGGCCATCAGATGCTTCGAAACTAACCATCTGTAAACTAATCAAGAAAAAGGCCCCTACTCAAAGTACATGGGAGCAACTGGATATTAGGATTCTGCACACAAAAAGTAAGTTTTAGGTTCTCATGCATTTTGCTTCAAGGGAAGTCGATAGGGGAGGGCCTGTCGTCACACAACAATGTATGTCTGAGGTGGAATAAGAGCCATATTGTAATGAGGGGACCGTTGTGGTGTTACCGTAATTACCCGATTCTAAAGCGCCCCCGATTCTAACGCGCACCCCGTTTTCATGCCCAAAAATGAAGATTCTAACGTGCCCACGATTCTAACGCGCACCCGGTTTTCATGCGCAAGAAAAATCGGTGCTTGTGCACAAAGAACAAGCGAAGTTCATCTACATGTAAGCACTGCGCTCGTAAGCATAACACTCGTCCTCACTTTCGGACAGCTCTTTGTCGCTCTCCACGTGCAACAGCATGTCGTCCTCGGTGCCGTCCAGCGAGTTCGAAATTCCGCACTTCTCAAAAAAGCACCTGTCCGTGGCTGCCCTGTCCGTGGCCCGTTGAATCCTTTCCTGGTCGACTTGCCTGCGAAGATCTTTTCTCTTTGCCTTCGCCAGTCACGAACACAAGTTTCGAGCACACCGAAAGTACGCGAAGTGGCTCTGTTGCCGGTCGTCTCGGCCTCGTAATGAAAACGCCGCGCCTTAGCTGGTGCGGCGGTCATTTCAGCTCCGCAAACGCTGACAACTGACAACAAAGCAAATCGCTAGAGCAGAGGCTACGCCGCCATCTTGTATTAGCGATGACAGTGAGACTGCCGGCAGCGTGATTTCGGTTTTGTTTCGGTTTCGTATCCGATTGTAACGGGCACTCCATTTCTAGCCGTATTTTTCTTGAAAAAATGTGCGCGTTAGAATCGGGCAATTACGGTAATCAAAATGTTGACATCCAGTAAAATGAAATAACATTTGTTAAAAGCTGGTTCATGAAAGCTGTCAATGTCTTCTACAGCATCATCTGTTGATGCCTATGCATTCCTTGGCTTAGCTGCATCAGCTCCTCTGAACTAACGGCCTTATTGGTCCCTGTTTTATTTCACAAAATGCCTTGTAAATCTTTATGCTCTTACAGACACTTTTGAAGATGCCTTGAAAAAACTGGACACAGCTGAGCAAACGTCCGACTTAGAAACTGAAGACAGTGAAATGGAGAAGCGGTCTAGGAGAAAGCGCAAAAGGATTGTACTATCCGACGATAGTGGAAGTGAAGAAGTCAACGACTTTGACTTATGGCCGATGCCTTCTCCGCCACCTTACGCATGCCCACCAGGTGATTATTCTATTCTAATAATATCTACTCCAGTTAAAATGGTACACGTGCTGTTTCTTGAATGAAACAATTGCGAGTAAAAAAGGTATGTATAGATGTGTTGTGTGGTGTCTACAAAACGCTACATGGTTTAGTAGTGTTCAAAGAAAGCACATTAATCAAGCTCTCTTTTTTTGCTTGGCACTGTATTTGCAGAGAGACACTCCCAGCCGACAATGTCAACCCACTCAGGTACACCAATGCCGTCGAGAGAGAGTGGAATGTCATTGCGCAACAGCCCTGGTATGATAACGTTTGAGAATGTTGATCTCAGAAGTTATAGTTTTGTTTTGTGTCATGCCATTCTTCAACACTTGAGACAAAACATGATTCTTATTCAATACTGCTGTTGAAACACAGCGCTCGAAAAAAGCACATTAATAAAGCCGTCTTGTTGCCTGGCACTGTATTTGCAGAAAGACACTCCCAGCCGACCATGTCGACCCACTCAGGTGCACCAATCCCGTCGAGAGGGAGTGGACTGTCATTCCGCAACAGCCCTGGTATGGCAATGTTTAAAAATGTTGATCTCGGAAGTTATAGTTTTGTTTTGTGTCGTGTCATTCTTCAACACTTGAAACAAAACATGGTCCTCATTCAATACTGCTGTTGAAACACAACGCTCGAAGAAAGCACGTTGATAAGGCCGTCTTGTTCCCTGGCACTGTATTTGCAGAAAGACACTCCGAGCCGACCATGTTGACCCACTCAGGTGCACCAATTCCGTCGAAAGGGAGTGGAGTGTCATTCCGCTACAGCCCTGGTATGGCAACGTTTGAGAATGTTGATCTCGGAAGTTATAATTTTGTTTTGTGTCGTGTCATTCTTCAACACTTGAAACAAAACATGGTCCTTATTCAATACTGCTGTTGAAACACAACTCTCGAAGAAAGCACATTGATAAAGCCGTCTTGCTGCCTGGCACTGTATTTGCAGAAAGACACTCCCAGCCGACCATGTTGACCGACTCAAGTGCACTGGCCCTGTCGAGGGAGCGTGGAGTATCGTTCCACGAGAGCTCTGGTACGACAATACTTGAGAATGCTTATCTCGAATGTTGTAGTTTTGTTTCGTGTCGTGCCATTCTTCAAACAAAACATGGGTCTTCATTCCGTGCTGCTGTTGAAACGCAGTGCTCAAAAAATGCACATTGATCAAGCAGTCTTGTTCCCTGGCACGTACTGTATTTGCAGAGAGACACTACCAGCCGACCATGTCGACCCACTCAAGTGCACTGGGCCTGTCAAGGGAGCGTGGAGTGTTGTTGCATGAGAGCTCTGGTATGACAATGCTTCAGAATGTTTATCACAAGTGTTGTAGTTTTGTTTTGTGTCGTGTCATTCTTCAACACTTGAAACAAAACATGGCTCTTCATTTTGTGCTGCTGTTGAAACACAGTGCTTAAAGAAAGCACATTGATAGAGCTGTCTTTTTGCCTGGCACTGTATTTGCAGAGAGACACTCCCAGCCAACTATGTCGACCCACTCAAGTGCACCGGCCCTGTCGAGGGAGCATGGAGTGTCGTTACACGCGAGCTCTGGTATGACAATACGTGAAAATGTTTATCACAAGTGTTGTAGTTTTGTTTTGTGTCGTGTCATTCTTCAACACTTGAAACAAAACATGGCTCTTCATTCTGTGCTGCTGTTGAAACACAGCGCTCAAAGAAAGCACATTGATAAAGCTCTCTTGTTGCCTGGCACTGTATTTGCAGAACGACGCTACCAGCCAACCATGTCTGCCCACTCAAGTGCACCGGCCCTGTCGAGGGAGCACGGAGTGTTGTTCCACGAGAGCTCTGGTACAACAATACTTGAGAATGTTTATTTTGAATGTTGTGGTTTTGTTTTGTGTTGTGCCATTCTTCAACACTTAAAACAAAACATGGCTCCTCATTCTGTGCTGCTGTTAAAACGCAGCGTTCAAAGAGAGCACATTGATAAAGTTGTCTTGTTGCCTGGCACTGTATTTGCAGAGAGAGACTCCCAGCCGACCATGTCGACCTACTCAAGTGCTCCAGTCCTGTCGAGGAAGCATGGTGCGTCGTTCCATAAGAGCCCTGGTGTGACATTTAAGAATGGTGGTCTTGGATGTCATAGCTTTTTTTTTCTGTTGTAGCACTCTTAAGGATTAATGAAAAAGCTTGGATCTTTATGGTGCTCTCCGAATACTGCGCTGGAACAAAATCTGTTGATAAATACAATGTGTTAACTTCAAGTGTGTTATCAACAAAAGACGTGTTATTTTGATTGTCCTCACAGTTGTAAAAGGAATTGCATGTTACAATATGCTACCCAACGAGATTTGTACATTGCAAACGTTTTGCTGTTTTATTCTAGCTACAGACATATTTAGACTGGTAGGAACTAGATTTGAAGCAAGGCAGCAACCATGTGACGTCAATTCCTCATCAGGTTATGGTGTAATGTTGAAAATATATGCCAAAGTGCTACTTTTTACAGGTGATGATTACAACGCTTGCAGCATCAGAAATTTGTTGTTGAAGCTTCAGGCTCGTCAGCTGGGTGTGTATTCTAAATGTTTCAGAGTTTCCTAATCTAATCAAGCTTTCATATGTGTAACTTTAGTATAAATTTGTTATTTTCTTTTAGCCTTTGAGGAGAAAGTGCTTCACAACCACGCCCAGATACTTTCAGAAGTTAAACAATTTCGGAGGATGTTAGTGGCCCACGGCAAAACTTCGAAGCCCGTCAGGCTTCCTGAGGACTGCCCCAAAATCCCAGCAACGAACATAAGTGAACTCTTGGACATTGAGAGGTACCTGGAAAAGGAATCCAACATGGAGGCATTGGTGAGTGCAGTAATTCTTAAGACATTTCAGTATGATTGCCAAGTTGCTGTCACTCTGTTCCAGGTGCATTTCTTTTCGAAAAAAGGGGGAAATGACCACAACGATTGCGTCAGGGCGGTTCTTGGGGATCTGGTGGCCAACGAAGCAGCCCTTCAGCTGAGTTGGAAAGGGTCTGGCGGCACTAAAGGAAGCTTTCAGAAGTTTGAACAGATACTGAGCCTCATACTGAGTAAGTATTGCTAATTTGGGAACATTGCCATCTTGTCAATAGTCACCTTAAATGTTTCCTCGGGCTTTAAAATTAAATGCAAGCCAAGCATTGATTAATAATTACTTGTGGCCGATCCTATGTTTCGCATGAGTCAATTTGAAGATGACTCTTAGCAGCCACGTATGTGAACCACTGACATTTATATAAGATCATTGCTCTAGGGCAGGGGTCTCAAACTCAAGATATTTTCATATGGCAGTTTTTTTTTCTTCAGGATGCAGGCCGCATCCCAGAGAGTCGCAGGCCGCGTGTTTGAGACCCCTGCTCTAGAAGGACTGAGCTCTACTTTCAAGCTCATGTTGTCCATATCACTCCACAGAGGGCAAATAGATTGCTTGAAAATGCCTGATGGCTGACAAGGCTATTGAGTCCAAGCTGTTTACAAGGTTTATGACTGTTACAGGCTCTGTAAAGGACCATGACTGTGTCGGGACTGCCACACTAACCTCTGTAAAGAAGGTGGTGAAACCCTGGCTAGCAGGCGCGGGAGACAGACGTGGGGGACGTAACAGACGACGGAAGGCTTCCTGTGCGCCCGAGTGAACATTGAATCAATGAAAGGCTTCCCATGCGCTGAAGTGAAGGTTGCACTTATCGTTTTGTTTAATTTTTTTTAATTATTGCTGGTTTAGGTCACCATTTCTCTTAAATTCTTTAGAATATTTTATTTAATGTTGGTTTAGCTTACCAGTTCTTTGAACATCATTTTAATTTTTTTTAATTACTGCTGGTTTAGCTCACCATTACTTTCAATATTCAAGACATCTTTCTTTTAATTTTTTCATTCCAATTATCACATTGTGTTTTAAATTTGTTTATTGCTGGTTCAACTCACCATTTCGTTGAACATTGCAGATATTGCTTCATCTTAATTTTTTTTATTTACTGCTGGTTTAGCTCACCATTACTTTGAACATTCCAGATATTGCTTTGTTTAAAATATTTTATTTGTTGTTGGTCTAGTCCACTATTTCTTATTGTTGGTTTAGTCCACTATTTTTTATTGTTGGTTTAGTCCACCATTTCTTTCGACATGTCTCTAGAATGAATAAACAAGTTTGGGTTGTGACATTGCTCGTTATTGCCTTATTTCTTGATGTGCAGTGTCCCAAATATCAAAGACCCATTAACTGCATGCAGTGGTTCGAAGCCCACATGGGCCAGACTCTCTCTATTTTGAGTGAGTAGATACAGCAGATTTTTACTTGTTTCCTCACCTCAAGAAATGTGATCCAGGACAAAGCAAATCGAGCACAGCCACCTGCAGCCTTGTCAAATGGGTCTTTCATAATGTGTGAGCGTGTATTGAGGGAGCTAACAATTGTTGCCCATGAATATTGCAAAATATTTGTGTAGTGGTTATCCAGCGTTTAGTTCTTTCAGCATATGCAAATGTAGGCGTCCAGTCGACACCTGCTGTTCTAATGTCGATATATCTTATTGCAGAAGGTGCCTACCACTGTAGCCAATTATAGACCTTTCAAAATTCTGCCTTGTCCTGACAGTGCTGAAAATATTGCACTCCTAAAGGTGTAGCAATTATTTTTGTAGCACTTCATTTTTTAGCAATATTGCTGGGCTTTCATTTGTACAGTGTCTCGCACACACCTTTATACAGTATTACCACCTCTGCCGGGAGAGTGCAAACTTTTGAAAGGAATCTTTTAGTCCTGCTCGGGAAAGCTAGAACATTATTTTGCCTTCCGAAGCCCAGCAATATTGCTAGGCTTTGGAGCTGGCTGCCTGTGTTCGGCATGGGTCTGGGCCAACATTGGCCATGTGCTGGGCCTTGTCAGCCTGCCAGTCACTAACCACAGATTGGCCACTGAAAGGACAGTGTCAATCCCCATGAATGGCCCATGCACTTTGGCCAGGCATTGGCCAATGATTTTTGGATTGGCCAAGGATGTTGGGCCATAATGTTGCCAACCATTTTTGTCTGCCTGGGTAGAAGCGCGAGACCAGCGCTTTTTGCGTTTCTCCCCAGCTCGCGCGCTCGAGCAAAGCCTGAACGCACGGAGCTTTCGTGCTCGCGCTTCCAGCTTTGCCTTCGCTCGCACATAAGGTGAAACGAAGTATAGGCTGCCGGCACAACATGGACCACATCTAAACAAAGAAGTAGAAGTGCAAACGTTTCGTTTCTGTACCCCTTAAGGGTGTATCCACACGACGGACCGGGCCGCGGACCGATTGATCACGTGATGCGCGGCCCGCGGGCCGCCCGGCTGCAATGAGCATCCACACGGCGGACCAAAAGCGCAGACGACAGAGTGAACGGGCCGGTATAACCCTCGACCTCACAGCTCCGCCAAACGCATGCAACGAGCTGCTTTGAGGCTATTTGTAAGGAGCCAAGATGGAGGTTGACCGAAAGAGACTTTTGGCCGCGGTGGCCCTGGCGTTGACTATTGAGGACGAGGAGGACTTAAGTGAACCGAAAAGGGCATGCATCTATTGTCCCACAGAGCGGGGAATTGCTCTACGAGCGCGATGAAGTAATAAGTTGCATCGTCGCACCATGCCGCCATCGTCGCACAACAAAAGGTTCGTCTTCTTCGTCTTCAACAGTTGGCGCCAAAAGAACACGACTTTGGATTTGGATTCCAATCTAAACCTTGTCTAAACAACAAAAGTCAGCTTGTTGCCAGACTTAGCACTTCAATTATACTGAAAACGCCGCGGTCCGCCCCCGCGGTCCGGCCGAGAAAAGCGCTTGGCATTTCTCACAAGCGCGGGCCGCGGACCGCCGGCGGACCTCGAAAAGCGGTGACGTAAGATCACGTGATGCGCGGCCCGCGGACCAAAACAGCAATTTGGTCCGTCGTGTGGATACACCTTAAGGTGTATCCACACGGCGGACCGGGCCGCGGACCGATTGATCACGTGATGCGCGGCCCGCGGGCCGCCCGGCAGCAATGAGCATCCACACGGCGGACCAAAAGAGCAGACGACAGAGCGAACGGGCCGGTCTAACCCTCGACCTCACAGCTCCGCCAAACGCATGCAGCGAGCTGCTTTGAGGCTATTTGTAAGGAGCCAAGATGGAGGTTGAACGAAAGAGACGTTTGGCCGCGGTGGCCCTGGCGTTGAATATTGAGGACGAGGACGACTTAAGTCAACCGAAAAAGGCATGGGGAACATCTTCAGATGATTATGTGGGTAGTCGTCGCGACTATTGTCCCACGGTGCGGGGTATTGCTCCATGAGCGCGATGAAGTAAAAAGTTGCATCGTCGCACAACAAAAGGTTTGTCTCCTTCGTCTTCAACAGTTGGCGCCAAAAGAAAACGACTTTGCATTTGGATTCCAGTCTAAACAACAAAAGTCAGCTTGTTGCCAGACTTAGCGCTTCAATTATACTAAAAACGCCGCGGTCCGCCGCCGCGGTCCGGGCCAGAAAAGTCAGTTGGCATTTCTCAGAAGCGCGGGCCGCGGACCGCCGGCGGACCTCAAAAACCGGTGACGTAAGATCACGTGATGCGCGGCCCGCGGACCAAAAGAGCAGTTCGGTCCGTCGTGTGGATACACCTTTAAGGGGTACTCCGGCGATTTTTGAGCTACCTCAACTAACTATATTTTCTGACTCCCCGGCCTTTACCCTTTCCGGTATGCTATTTTGTATCGCGAAATTCATAATAGTTCCGACGTTGAGTGCTGAGAAAGAAGCATAGCGCGGAGCCTGCGCCTTTTGATGGTCCGCGAACAGAAATTCGCTATCTGCGACTAATCAGTATCTGTGTGCGCTCAAAACTCTACGCCGTAGTATTTAACAGACCCTTCCCTTACAAAAAATATTTCAGGCAGTCTACAGAAATACTATTCACATTTAACGACTTTTTCAACCTCCTATTCACTAACGTCGTACCGACAATTTTTAATAGACTTTCCATTCGCTCTTTCTCGCGTGGGTTGAAAAATAGTTTCGCCAGTGTGCAAATAGCTCCCTACCACTTCCGGTGATGGACTAGAAGGCGGGTTTCGCAGTATTTGCGAGATCGAATCTACGCGCCATTTTCGGGAAAGGGGTCGCTTGTGCCACTCTCACACATAATTCACTCTTGCGATGAAATAATGTCGCGTAAAAAATTAGAAAATATACTCGGACCGGAAGTGCTCCAGGGCTACCCAATGGCGGCGCCGCTGAATTTGTTGCCAAACAAAAAAAGTGAATAGACTTTCTCTCAAATAAAGTCTATAAACTACGGACGATAGAAATGCTATCAAATTTATATAGCATCACGTATCAATAAATTTTAAAATGCCCTTTTATTACTAAATCCACTTTCGCCTCCTCCCCCCCCCCCCCCCCCCCCCCGGCCCTCTATCTTACAATGCTTAGATGATGTGGCATTAGCCAGGTGCCCCCCCACCCTTCCTGAAAAAAATTCTTGGCTACAGGCCTGCAAGCCCCGTAGCCAAGCCCCGGGTACCGTAGCCCCGTAGCCCGTAGCGTTTAAGTGAGTGTGTTCGACTACCAATGTTTCAGCCTTAAAGGGACGTTTGAAATATCTCCAAACGGCTACCAATGAAGATCCCGTACACGTCAAGGTCAGTCACCTCTCAGGGACCACACGACCGGATGACAAGCAACCTGTTACAGAAATAGTTTTACTATGCTGGATGTACCGCTAGGAGGTACACACAGAAATAAAAAGGTAAACATACCCAGCTCAATACATTATGAGTTCATGCACCGTCTTCATGCGGCACACGCGGGAGCAGAAGACCGAGGAAGAAGCGTAGTGTTGTGGTCCAATACACTTTGGCACAATACACATTAAGTCATTTAACAGCAAATAAAAATGTGACATATTTTTTAATGAATGAGTTTTATGGAGGTATATCACTCTCTGGGGATTGTCGAATGCTTGAGTATAAAAACTTGCGACTCCAGAAATATAGTGAATCGTATAAGACCATACTTTAACAAACGACTCTGTGAAGGTCTACGAATAATGCCACCATTTCATTGACGATGGAGCTAGAACGTCACATTGAAATTGTGAAAGCGGGTGGCTGTATTGTCAAAAGTAACAATAATTAGATGAACATTTTTCTCGGCTGTGTGTCATTGTTTGTGTGTCATGCATGCGTATGGTTAGTAAAGTGGTAAGCAGGACAAGTTGGTAAACGTTGAAAGTAATGAAAAATAGCGTATAAAAAGACAAGGTCAAAAGTGGAAGGGTACACAGAACGCAGACAGGCGTGTATTCGCAACTCTGATATAATAGATGAAAAAAAGAAAGATGAAGAAAGACTCATGCCAGGGGACACCGACACCAGGGGGAATACAGCTCAGTCGCAGCCCGTGGTCGCAGCTAAATGACTGCAGAAAGTCAACTTTTAGGAGCGGAGCTCCTTAGGGGCTAGCCATGTCCGTATGTCTGTCCGCCTTTGGGTGCACGTGCTCCTGCTCGTGAGCTCACGTACTCACGAGCACGTGAGCACGTGCTCCCGTGCTCGTGTACGGCAAAAAAAAAAAAACCGCATCTCCACGTGGTGAATGATGTTGATTGGGGCGAAGCTCTGGGGGTGCTTGTCTGCGTAGACGGTGAGCCGCAGCATGCCGAGCCTTTCGTTCGTTTTCATCGATGTCAGAAAGAGAATGTGCGGTATGGAACGTGGTTATATACACATTTGAGCATTTGACCGCAGCGTGACATGGATGAAAACGAATGAAAGGCTCGGCATGCTGCGGCTCAGTGTCTACGCAGACAAGCACCACCAGAGCTTCGCCCCAATCAACATCATTCACCACGTGGAGATGCGGTTTTTTTTTTGTTTTTTGTTTTTTTTTACTTCAAACCACTGATGGCTGACTAACGCAGCGATCGGCCAAACCCAAGATGGTAAACGCCTCGAGCACTTCGCGAGTTTGCTTTTCTTTGAACCACTCAAGTATTAATATTGTTTTCCAAAGATGGTGAACACATGTTGCACCCATTCAGGAAACACGTGTTGTAATTATTTACGCCTAATTAGGATTACGTATAACTAACAATGCGTGCTCTGTAAATAGTTATGCGTTGCCTAATACACACATCAGTCAAAATATTTTGGCCACCCGTATATTGTAAGAATGAGCGTCTCTAGGTGATGCCCCATCTGCGTTATCTACCATCAGCTGATGCGAATGGTATAACGGATGCCGGGGATAAAGAGGGATTGCTTTGTCAACTATGTGTGCGTGTAATCGAAGAGGCTGCCGGTTTAAGCGACTTTGAGAAACAACAGATAATGCATATGTTAAGGTCATTTCTGACCAGTTCAAGGCATTTGTGGTTTTTTTTTTCTCATAGGAAGTGGAATCTTAAAGAATACTGAACCAAGGAATTTAGTGTCCATAATAAGTGGCGCACGTTCTTTCCACGTGCCACCAGCCGCCGGTGTGCGCGAGCACACGCAACGAAAAGGACGTCAAGGACCTCCATTCGCGCTTAAGAGGAATGTGAAATGCATGGGCTTCGAGCCAAAGGAGAATAAAGACAAGTTTTTCATCTACACAGTGGTGTCTGGTGTAAAAGGTAAGCGATTAATTGCCTAACAAGCAGGTAGCTTTCATTTGTGGAGATGAAAAGCCTGTC